ATATATATATATATATATAATAGTAAAATATGAAGAAAGTATAAGTTACCATAAAGAATATCATAGTTGATTCAGGGTTGCTGGTAACTAAAGTAATAATACCGTTTTCATTATCAGGTTTTTGGAGGAAGTGCTCACTTAAGGGAAGTTTTTTGTTACCTAACATAAGGTTGTTCCTGCCTGTACCGGGAATCCAATTCAGGACCTTGCGCTTGCGAAGCAGGAAGCGGCACCACTGAGCTAAATCTCGGGCCCTACGTGGTATCTTGAGGACTGTGTAATCAGTTTTCTTTCAACCTATCAATTTCTTTTCTTTTGACACAGAATCTTGCTATGTGGTTCAGACTGGCTTTCAACTACGTAGCCCAAGCTGGCCTTGAACTTACCGTTTCAAGATGCCATCTTCACCCATGTATTCATCTCAGATTGTCCTGAGCATTGAGAACACAGTCATTTATCATGTAGGTAGGCTTGTTGTGCCCAAACAATGTAGAAGAACCCTGTTTCAGTTCTTGACTAGTTGGAGAAAGACATGTTTAAACTCAAGGCAAAATTAGAGATGTTATTAAGTGTTAAGTGTGTCTCATTACGGGTCTAAACAGTAAATCGGTAAATTCCATGTTTTTCACGTTTCTAACAGGACACCTGATTACAGCTTCCTTTATGAATAAAGTTTGTGTGGGATGAGGGATCAGCTATAGCTGAGGTGGGAGGGAAGGACCGCTGAGCGCTTCGAGGTGATCAGAAACGTTGCCTTGCCCCGCCCACCTCTGTACGAGGCTAGGACAAAGACCGAGCCCGACCCTGGAACTCGACCCTGCGCTGGGGGTGTAGCAGGGCTGGCTTTGTGGCGCGCGATCCCACCGCGGGTGGCGGGGGCGGAAGCGGCTCCGCATGGCCAGCCCCGAGCGGTCCGGCTTCCCTGCGCGCACCAATAGCCGCCTGGACTCGTTCTTGAGGAGGCAGCTGGCGCCTGAGGTCTACGACACAGTCCGCGCCTACGAGCCCTGCATCGTGGTGTCAGACTCGGAGAAGCACACCTCCAAGTATGTGGTGCTCAGTGACCGGCTCATCTACTTGACCGACAACCCGCCCAAGTCCATCCGGC